TGAAGTATTAGGTCTCTGCGCTGGGAAGCTACTTGACAGAGGGGAAGACTGAGACATGCTGAAATCTCCAAGGAGGATCTCCAAGGGCTTACAGACAGGAATGATTTCCTCTAGAACCATCAGAGAGGGAAGGAACTCTTTTTCATATTTCCGCCAGCACTCTGGGTTTGGGCTTCTAGCCCAAATGTAAAAGGTCACATTTCTATTTTTTTAAAACCATCCCCTTGTGGTATCTTTATTATACCAGCACTACATAATTTAGGCAGCTCTGGTGCTTTAACGGTAAGGAGTTGCACTGACAACAGTTTGAATCCACCAGCTGCTATGCAGGAGAAAGATGAATCATTTCCTCTTATGTGATTTATTGCCTCTGAAAGCCTGCTGGAGGGTCAGCTATGAGTTGCTTTTGACTCGACAGTACATAACAACAACTGAGGGAGAAAGATTTACAGCTTCAGGAACAACAGAGACAATGTCTTTCCTAGAGACTGGTCCCTCCTGATAACATGTCCAAAGTCCATGGTGTAACTTGTAGCGTGTTGCCCTGCAAACCAAAGTACATGAGACGTAGTCTCCTTGGCCTCACTTCTTAGGAGCATTCTGGCTGTTCTTCCAAAACAGATCTGTATTTTCATCTAGCAACCCACACCATTCCTTATTCTTGGCCAACATCGTGATCCATAGCCATCAATCCATTGGTTTTTCCTTATTTGTTGTCTGGCTTTCACTTGACACAAGTTACACGTGTGACTTTTCCAACAGCAAAACCTGCCACCAACTTCCCGTCTGTTTTTGTTGTTGTGATGTGCTGTTGAGCTGACAAAGTTGACTCATCCATCAGCCGACTATGAACAACAGATTTGAACTTTGCCCTGCGCTGCGGCCTCCTCGGCATCTCAGATGTGCCAGAGCCCGTAGTTACAGTCACTGTGTCAATCTCTCTCATCGAGAGTCTTCACCTCTTCCTCTGACCCTTCACCTTCCCAGCACGATGTCACCTTCGAAGGACTAGCCCCTCCTGAAAACATACCTGAAGGATGTGAGATGACGTTTCACCATTATTGTCTCTAAAGGGCACCCTGGCTGACTCTTCTAGAACAGATCTGTTTATTCTTTTTGCAGACGATGGCATATTCAGTACTCTTCTTCAATACAAAATTACAGATACCTCCTTTATCAATTCTAGACATCTCTCCAGGCAGAACTGCTGAAATCATTCTGGTGTTTAAGCTCCCTATTCGGCATATTCTGCCCTTGGCCTTTCTCATTCAACAGGTCCCTGGAGGTCTTTCTAGAAGAAGACATTTCTATCTAGCCTGTTCCATTTAGCTGCTCCTTAGTCATTAATACCTGAAGGAATCCCAAGCCATTCCCTTCTTGATGGATTTTATCTCCAAATTTTCCTGTTGCACGCAGTCCTAGATGCAAACACCTTTGTGCCACTTTCTATACTTGCCCACTTCTTTGTTTAGAACAGATATAAAAGAGTGTAGATTTGCTGGATAACCTTTGGGGTACACTCTGGAGGGGCTCTGTCTGGAATGCCTACACTTGAATGCCTTTTCGAGACCAATTAAGGCCCCTCTTCTCTGTGAAAGGTGACATTTCCTACTTCTGTTTCTCCAAGTTGTGTTGTTGTGTATTGTTGAGTTGGAACTGATTGTAGCTGACCTTCCAGCCAGTTTTCAGAGGCAGTAAATCACCCAGGAGGAGACTGTCCATCTTTCTCCTGTTGAGTCGCTGGTGGATTCAAACTTCATGCCTTTGCCAGCATCACACATTTAAAGTTCTGGCTCTACTTTATTTATCTTCTTGTGTCCAACCTCTGGTGCAGGTTGTTGCCCACATAGAAATTAAAACATTTTCTTGGCTGGATGAATGAACAAGTAAATAAATGAAGGCCCAGTGGTTTGGACATTCCAGGTGTCGCCTCTTTTCAGGTTGGTATCACCCTGTGAAGGACCTCTGGACACAGAGCATAGAAATGTGACCCTGGTGTCAGCATTCACTGCTGTTTGTGGCCAATGAGTAAATTCTGACTCTGTGTGCAGAGCAGAACAAATACATCGGGGTTCCAGGTCGTGACCTTTCAGAAGCAGACTGCCAAGTTCGTTTTCTGAGCTGTCTCTGGGGTTTGAACTGCCAACCTTTCTGCTAGGAGGTGAGTGCTTAGCCCAGAGACTCCTAAAGCACCAGCCAGTGAATGGCTTTCCAAGGACACATCTGCCTCCCTTCATCTTTGAAACAGTCTGGTTGCTGTGGGATGAGGTTTATTCCCCTCCTCCCTCCTTATACTGTACCTTAGGGACAATTAAGATCAGCTGCAATATTTCTGCTTCCAGATTTGAACCCAAGGGAAGGCAGCTGTTTTCCACCCTGGGTCCTCTTCTCTAAGTGATCCAGAACATGGCTTCTTTCAAAGTCTCCACAGCCTCACTTATTCAGATTCTAGAGCCTGGCTGTTGCCTTCACTTTTAATGGTGTTCTAATAAGCAGCTCCTGTAATTAATTTCATTCTTGTGTTTTCACACTCTTTGTCTAAAGGCCTCCAGGCAGTAGGTGGGATGTTAACTGATTTTAAAGAACACACAATAATACGGCCTTCATTAGCCATCTTCCTGGCTGCTCTTATTTTTGCTGTTGTTTTACACGCATTAATTAGGTGGGGCACAGGCCCGTAAGAGGTCAGCGGGGTCAACTGTCATGTAGAAACAGATACGGAGAGAAGGGACTTGTCCGAGACACAACAGCCACCGTGGTGTTGAAACGGCTTTCATAAAACAAGTCATGTTGGTGTGCATTCTGTGACGACCAAGCAGAGATCCACTACTCGGGAGCGATTTGCCCTACATTGCTTTGAGGATCCTGGAATGCCCAAGGGGTGGTAGCCCGGTTTCTAAGAAGTTATTGTCTTAGGTAGACAGTTTCTCCCTTCCACTAGGACTGCTAAGCAAGTCAGCCCTCAGCAACTAATAATGACCATTGGGAATTGCTTCTACTCTTTCTCATTGGCCCCCTTTGCATTTTACAAGCCGATTCAGCTTCATGGCCAAAGCGTCAGTGATTCCTCCCGGATTTGGAAACCACATCATTATGCTATTTTTAAAGCTGCCTGTAAAAACCCTGAGCACCCAGACTCACACTCCTCGGGGAGCCAAGGGGTGGGGGGGTGGAAGAGTACGTGCTGGAGAGAGAACATCTTGGCCCCAGGGCTTTCCAGAGCGTGGCCACCCCCTGGGGGCACATTCCCCAAGGCGCACGGGGACTCTGCGACTCAGGGAGAATGTGCACCGCCCTGGACGCTCTGAGAGGGCCTCTGCCCACCCCAGGCGTCTGACCAGCCGCTGGCCCACGCCCTTTCTCGCCGCTCCCAGCAGCGGACAAGGCCACCCTGCCCAGGAGGGAGTTGGAGGGAGGGAAGGCCAAGCAGGTGGCTGTTAGGTCAGCTTCGGAACATTCTTGGGCCGCTCCAGTGGATATAAATAACAGATGGGCAGACTCTGAAAAGTCCCGGGTAGGGGAGAGGAGGTGAGGAAGAAGGGATTTATTTAGGGTGGGGTGACATCGCAGTGAGCTGGAAAAATCTGCCAAACCTGGTGACTGTCAAAGCTGGGGGTGGGGCGACGGGATTTCAGAATGGATTAGGGTATAAAATCTGGAAATAAGAGTAGTGACGGGAAAGAACTTGGCCCCTTTTGACACCACCCCCTCTTCGAGAGTGTCTCAGACCTCAGAATGTGCCCTAGATTGGCAGGCAGGGCTGTGCACGGAAAAAGCCACGGCTTTAGACTTTCCGCCCTATCTCAATGGACAGCAATCCAGTGAAGATTTTTGGGCTTCAGTTTCTGCCTCTGTACAATGGGACTCCTTACACAAGGCGCTGGTTTTGAGATTTGCACAAGCCAAGAATTAAGATTAAGAAAGCTGTGCTCGGCAAAAGATGTAAAGAAGGATCTCCCAAATCTCCAGGGATTTTAGGGAAACTCTTGCAAGCCTAGTCCCTGCCGGTGCCCACTGAGCCCCCAAGCTCTGCAGAGGCCTGGGAGGGCAAAGTCGAAATTCGACTCCCACCGCGCCACCTTGGGGAGTCGGTGCTGGCGCTCGCACGCGGGAGCTGAGCCCCAAGCCTGCGCCCCTCAAGCCGCTGCCCACGGCGATGCCTGCAGCCGAGTTGGGGGCTGTGCCCCCGAGCCGGTCGGCGGGGTGGGGGCCTCGCAGAGAGGAGAGGGCGGGGCCGGGGGCGGGCTTCCCGGGGGAGGGCCAGGCGCGCTCCGGGAGGCGGCAGCCGGGGCCCAGGAGCGGCAGGACACGGGCCCGAGCGTGGCCAGACCCCCACCCGTCCAAGGCGCCCGGAGAGGACGCGGTGAGTGGGCCCGGGCGGGGGACACGCGGGCAGTGGCGGCGGCAACAGCCGCCCGAGCTGCCCTCTCGTCCGGCCCCTGAAGTTGCTAGTGGGACCGACTCCCAGCGGGGAGTCCGGGGCCACGGGCTCCAGGCGGGATCCGCTGGGCTGCCAACTAGCGAAAGGCTTCTCGTCCTGGGCGCTGCGAGTCCCGCACCTTTCCAGCCCGGCCGGAAAGGGGGCGTCGGGGCTGGAGGGGCCAGTTGAGGGAGCTGGGGGGGGTGTCTCCCGGGGTCCCAGAGGGGCCTCGCTCCCCGCCGCGCCCCCAGTCCCCGCCGGGAGCCCCAGAGAGCTGGCCGCGCTCCGTGCCACCATTAGGAATTCTCGGCGGGCCGCGGCCCAGGCAGGGGGCGACCCCTCCCCCCGCGGTGAGCGGCCGGCCCCACCCCCACGGAGACCAAGTTCAACAAGTTTGGCCAAGAAGCCCTGCGCCTCCATGGCGAGGCCTGGCCGGGCCGCCGCGCGTGGGCTCCGTCGGCGGCGAGTTGCGCGGCGCCGCGCGGGCGGGGAGGGGCAGAGGCCGGGGACCTGGCGGCCGGTGGCCCCGAGATTTGGAGCAGAGGCTCGGGGTTCGGAGTGCGTCATCGGCGAGCAGCCCTAAATCTGCCACTATTCCGTGCTGCGGGGACACCATGGCTCCAGAGGATGACGCCGGAGGGGAGGCCCTTGGAGGCAGCTTCTGGGAGGCTGGCAACTACCGGCGGACAGTGCAGCGGATAGAGGATGGGCATCGGCTATGTGGAGACCTAGTCAGCTGCTTCCAGGAGCGCGCTCGCATTGAGAAGGCCTATGCCCAGCAGCTGGCCGACTGGGCCCGCAAGTGGAGGGGCGCCGTGGAGAAGGGCCCCCAGTATGGAACTCTGGA